CTTGAAAAACATATCATGCATGTGTATATGCCCAAAATCCTGAAAGGAGAGATGGAGAAGGAACTGTGGCATGTCCATCCTCCCTAGGGATGCTTTCTTACTTTCCCACTCCACGCTCTTTATACTTTTAGCCTCTCTCTGGAAGTTTATGCACCTCTTAGCAAACCAAAAATGAATCCCTGAAACAGAAATTATGCACCGCCAAAAAAATGAGATACTACGCATATAGATACATCAGGAAAGTCATGACATATTTTTCTATGCAAAAATGCATCATAACTTTTCTGACGACCCAATAAATATATGCAGATTTAATCTAAAATGAAATTTTAATTATGTAAATCATTAAAAAAGAGGTTGGCACATAATGGAAGCCTAAAAAAGGATGGACTGAGACCATGCAAGGACTCAGAGAAAAGGATTTAGCCAATGAACTTTGAACTATCAAGAGCTTTGAAAGGATATACATCTCCATTGTAGAGTTGATGGCATCAGGATATTTCAGCCTGAGGCTACTAAACATCTTCTAGAATATCCCCTTGTTCCAACTCCATGATCAGCGAGTTTATGGCAAACTGTGTCGCCAACATGCTTTGCATGAGCTTATCTCAGAGTCACAGGTAATCCAAACTGTGTGTTTCATTTAGTAATTTGGGTTTTCATAAGTTTTTAAAAACCCAGGCCTGCTCTTAAGTGTTAAAAAAGAAAACAAACAAACAAACAGGATGCCGAGTCCGCAAGACTCAAAGTCAGATACTGGACTGTGGCAAAGCCACCAAGGTAAAAGTCCTCTTTGAGAATCTTTAAGGAAGGCAGCGCTTTCTTTCCAAATGTAAGTAACTGGCACTGCTACAAGGCCAGTTTCTGTTTTTCTAGTATTTCCCCATCTCATTAAGTTACTATTATTGTCTTGGTGATAATCATTATTTTGGGCTTTCCTTCCATCTGTGATATGAAGGAGGGCATGGTTAAAAATTCTGCAAACTATTCCATCATTTACTGAATGCCTGCTATGAAGGTGAGTGCTATCCTAGGCGTCAAGGGTATCTTAAAACAAACGAACCACAGATACAGCAACCTGTGTGAAGAGAAACGTCTGTACAAACTCAGCAACACAGAGGCATAGACAAAGGCGTAGGCAGGGTCCTGGCCAGGTGTGTGCGTTATCACTAGCTCTTATCCTGCCACTTCTCTGGCATGTCACCGTTCTTTCCATTCTTTCCAATGCTGCAACTAATAGCCAACGTTCTCCAAGCTTTCTTCTCATCAGGGTCTTTCTTAGCTTTTATCTTTATCAATTTTTGGCTGGCCTCTGCCTAACTGCCCAGGCTGCCTACAGGAATTGCTGCAGTTCCTGGCCTTCCTCTTCTCCCCTGTAGGTGGCTCCATGTAAATGAGATGCTACACAACTGGCAACTATGGTTGGTCCTCCTTGTATCGAAACCAGACTGTTCTCCCCTATTGTTCAACTTTTGCTATAAGTGAAACTGAATTTTCTGTACCTGCTCATAAAAGATACTTAGTAAATATATACTCTGCATCCAACAGGCAAGAATTGAGAATTTTTGAGTTGTTGTAATGGTGATCTCTACTAAACTATTACATTCCAAATTTACATTCTGTAGAACTCTAATTTTGTGAGTCTTAATAGGTGTCATTTGGAGAGAAAACAATTTTGGGGGGTGGATATGCAGAGAAAATGCTGTGCTTTACAAAGTTAAATGAGTTTCTTTATTGCAGGATAAATGATGACACATTTATATAAAGTAATCTGTTAGATGAGAGTATTAGAGATATATTAGGTGAAGTATTTCTCATCTAATATTTTGACTCCACCTAATCTTTTTCATAGATCATCTTCTGGATTTACTTCCTCTTCTGTAAAATGAGTACTTACCTCACAGGATTATTACAAGGAATGAATAGGTTAAGACATGTAAAATGTTTAGAATAACACCAAATATGAAATAAGCATTTAAGAACTTTAGGAAAGTCTTGAGTCATTTGAAGGCAGACGCAGTTCAAAAACTCAACACGCCACTGGTACAGAGTGAGCACTGAATTAAAGTTTGATGTAAACTTAAGACATTAAGGGATAAATGAATGTTACTTTCAGTAACAACTGAATACTATTTTCTAATCGCTACAAAACAAATGAGAAACCCATTACATTTTCACATGTATGCGCTCTCTCTCCTTTATAGAAAAGTGGCTGTCATATTTTAAGAGGCATTCAGGGAACTTGGTTAAATTTATCTCCCGGGCATATCACAATCTAAAACCTGCTAAAAAAATAAACACCCCTCCCAGGACTACACAAAGGTAATATGCATCTTACACAGTGGTACACTTTAAGTGGGATCTATCTTTAAATATAGAGTACCTATTTATAATTTATATAGGAATTTTATAATTTATACATTTACACAGACATCTCCATCTGACCTAGTTTTAGAGCTATGCAAAAAATTTTAAGAACTGAGAAAATGACCCAAAACATAAAACTAAGCTATGAAAAATTAAATGGGTTAGTGGAACAAAAAGTATAGGAAAAAACATGCATTTTATAAAGAACATGGATCTTCCTAGCTTTTCTGTTTTTCCTCTGGTAATACTGACCTCAAATCTTTTCAGTTTTAAAACACTAAGATTCTAAGGCTATAACCTTACACAAATACCACTGTTTCTGAGCCAGCCCAATAGGCTAGAGGTTAGGGGAGCTGGGTTCCACATGGCCAACTGCACGGTTCAAATCCTGGTCCTACTGGCTAAAAACACATGGATGTGTGTGGACATGTGCCCCAAATGCTGACAGGATGAAGAGATGTAGGAGAAGGAATTGCTGAGTGATTATGTCCAGTTGGGGGTGCCTCCCTCCCCCTGCTCCCAAACCTCTCCCCCTCTCTCTCTGGCAAGTGCAAGTGCATAACCTCTCTAACAAAGATAGATAGATAGATAAATCAATCATTTCTTCTTCCTTTTTTTTTTTTTTTTCCTTTTTTTGGAGAGGTTTTCGCTATAGGGTGCATGTGTTCACCAGAAAAACAGAGGGAGACAGAGAGACAGAAAGTGAGAAATCACCCCCCCCCCCGGGCGGGGATGGCCACGCCGCAATCATTTCTCCTGGATTCTCCTCTCGGGATCTTGGACACGCATGCACACGCGCCCGGCGTTGAGTTTAAGCCACTGGGTCCAGGACTTGAACCACAGTCGACTATGTAGGAGTCCAGCGACATAGCCATTATGCTAACTGCTGGCCCCATAAGTAAATCATTTCTATCACCCAGTTTCTTCCTCTTATTTTAAGAGCTATTTAAAATCATCTGGGGACCAGCAGATGGCACGGTGGTTAAGGGCACTGGACTCACATGGCCAACCTCGGTTACAGTCCTGGACCTGGTGGCTTACTTTCTCACTTTCTCTCTCTCACTCTGTACCTCTCTGGTCAAATAAAAATAGATAAATAAACGAATAAATTAAAATAAAGTTAAATAAAAAAATTCTTCTAAAAATTTTAAAATAAACTAACCTGGTAATCTTATATTTAAAAATTTCTAGGCTATGTGACCAAGGAGGTGGCATGGTGGTTAAGGTGCTGGACACTCTCACATCACAGTAAAAGTCCTGGAACTGGTGGCTTGCTTTCTCACTTTCCCTCTCTCTCTCTGTGCCTCTCTCTGGTCAAATGAAAATAAATAAAATAAATGAATAAATAAAATTAAAATAAAGTTAAATAAAATAATTCTTAAAAAAAATTAAAATAAACTAACCCAGTAATCCTACATTTAAAGATTCTAGGCTATGGGGGACCAGCAGTTAGTGTAATGGTTATGTCGCTGGACTCCCAAGTAGTCGACCGCAGTTCGATTCCCAGACCCAGTGGCTTAAACTCACGCCGGGCGCATGTGCATGCGTGCCCAGGATCCTGAGAGGAGAATGGAAGAGAAGGGATTGTGGCGTGGCCATCCCCCCTAGGGGGTGACTTCTCGCTTTCTATCTCTCTGTCTCTGTCTGTCTGGCGAGCGCATGCGCCCT